CTGCATTCGAATGCGTGATGCAAATCAAGGGGGATCAGTGATCAACATTTCATCCATTACTGGCCTTAATCGTGGGCAATCACCAGGGGCTGTTGCCTATGCTTCTGCAAAGGCAGGTGTAAACACCATGACAAGGGTAAAACATTACACGGAGTTATTTGTTGTTTAAACGTGATGGTTGCATTGTTTGACATAGATTGATGCATGGTTATGAAATCCTTATGGTGGACATTTGTAAGCATTGAGTATGTCATGGTGGTAGTATCTTTAAGATGGCAGTGTGCTACAAAGGGGAATTATTTGAAATAGGAAAAGTGTAAGATGTTGCTCTAGGAACAAAGAAATGGTGGTTACAAATATCTTTGGTAGTTTCTGGGTTTGATAGAAGTATATAACAAAATTTGAAAGTTAAGTATATTCGACTACACCATATATATTAAATCTTGATAGCAGGTGTATGTTTTATAAGTAGCTAAAGATTGTTTATTTGTTTATCCATTGTAAATACTTAATAATGGTTTCATAGTCATTAGATTCATTTTTTAGACATTTGATTATGCACAATTATATGCCGCCGTCCAATTAAATAATGAAATGGTTGGTAATGTTGTCAGACCTGCGAACTGCAGTTTACTTATCTTGCGTTGCATATTCTAGTCGAATATTTCTGCATAGTTTCTATTATTTTCAAAATTCACTTTATTATTTTCAAAATTCACTTTATTCTTCACAAAGCGTAGCTTTTACAATATTACCAAGTCGGAGTGATAAGGGTATGCATTTAAGGAGGACAAGGCCTCTATGTTAGATTGTTTTTCATACCAGTTATAGTTATTCTTTCACAATTGACAATACTTTTTGCTTTCTCATGGTGGTAGAAGCCAGGTGTTTTTTGTCAGTGAGGGTAAGTGAGATAGAATTAGAATTGACTGTTGAAAGACTTACGCTGTGATGATAAATATGTTTATATTTGATTCAATATGTACTTATTTCATCTTGGAGAATAGAAAATGACAATGAAGATATCCAGATCATGGCTTTGGAATTGGGGGTGCATAAAATCAGAGTGAATTCAATATCACCTGGAATTTTCAAATCGGAGATCACAAATGCTCTTATGCAGAAAGACTGGTTGAGAAATGTGGTTTTGAGGACTGTCCCTTTAAGAACGTCTGGCACCACTGATCCAGCATTAACCTCGCTTGTCCGATACCTAATCCATGATTCTTCTGCATATGTGTCTGGCAACATTTTCATTGTTGATGGTGGGACCACATTGCCTGGCATACCAATTTTTTCTTCTCTTTAAACATATGTGTTGCACAATTGTAACTGTTCAAGTAAAAATTAAGTGTCATGTTAACAGTTCTCGAATAGTGTTTTGTGAAGTTCTTTGTATGAAACCTGTATTTTGATCTTTTTAGTATCAGTTGAATGCATCTTATCCGTACGATTCAGGCAACTTGCTGGTTGCTATAATGTGCCTGCATTGCCTGGTGCCTATGAGGCTTGGGTCTTTTGTTTAAAGGTGGGATGATGGGGTATTGGAGAAGAGGTCTACTTGTGGATGAGATGGGAATTGTATCTTTTTTTTTCATCATGTAAGACTGAATGGATTCCTTTGAAATTAACAACTTAACAATGGATCACAACTAAAATGTGCATATCAATATATAGTGGTAAGGAACAATTCCAATATGGATGTTTTTAATTAGGAAATTAATACAATTAAAGTTAGAATCTTTTTTTCACTAATAAATGAAAAAAGGTGCAATTAATGTAACTATAAGTTGGCAAAATCTATGTTTTTTTACAATGAAAAAATGTTTCAGTTAAATTTATAAAAAAATTTAGGTAAAAAATGCTTTAATAATTTTTCATTGAAAGAAATAACTTATTTTTTAAAAAATAAAAATAATATTATTTTTTATAACATTTTATTAAAACTGATATATTTTAAAAATGTGTTGTTACTTAAATTTTCACAAATCTTGTGGATAAATATTAATATGCAGCTGGGTTCCAACGGATCAAAATTTCCAGATTCCAATAAACCAAAATGTGACTGCAAAAGCACTTGCGGCTTCAGCTGCGTTGGAAGTGCATCATCCTTTGGCGTCTATGTCAAGGGTTCTAGCTGCCACTGCTGCAGCAATATTATACCTACTCCCCTATCCCTCAATTTCCCATTGATCAAAAAAAAAAAAAAATGTGACTGCAAAAAGAAAAAAAGGAAAACCCAGATCTAGGTTTGGACGAACCTAGATATTACGTTCACATCCGAGTTTGAAGGAACCTAGTCGCTGGGTTTTGAAGATTCTAAATTTCTGGGTTTAAACTTTAAAGGAACTTGAATTTGAGGCCTCAGGGTTCCAACGAACCAAAATGTGAGGCTTGAAGCGTTGTTTTCCTTGACATGTCCTGCGATCCCTCGACAACGCATGAAACATTTTCTTTTCTTTGGGGAACTAATTTCATATTTTAATTGTAATATATAAAATTTGTGTTTTACCAAAAAAAATAAAATAAAATAAAATTTGTGTGTAATTCAAAATTTATCTTTATTATTATATAAATGTTTATTTTTGTTATTATATAAAAATTAATTTAATAAAAATTATATGTATTATGCTCATAAAAATTTTTAAAAAAGTATTAATTTAATTTAATGAACCTCCAATTTCCCCGATCAGTTTTCCTTAAGAGATTTCATGAGTATCTATTTAAGTGTAAAAATATTTTAAAAGGCCCATTATATAATTATTTAAGATTTATTAAAAAATTTAATAATTTTTATAATGCAATAAGCATATATAGAGATCAGTTTTCCTTAAGAGATTTCATGAGTATCTATTTAAGTGTAAAAATATTTTAAAAGGCCCATTATATAATTATTTAAGATTTATTAAAAATTTTAATAATTTTTATAATGCAATAAGCATATATAGAGAATTAATTTAATAAAAAATTATATGCATTGTATTCATTAAGAAAGTTAAAAGGTATTAATTTAATTATAATTGGGTTTTAACCTTTCAATTTATTTTTTAAAAAACTCTATTAGATATTTTTTTGAAATTTAGAAGGATTTTAAAAGATTTATTGATTATCTATTTGATATTTTAGTGAGATTTTAAAATTTTCATTAAATATTTATTTGACATTTATTAAAA